TTTTGTGGCTCCACATAGCCTATCAACGACATCCCCTACTATTGATCAATCCTCCCAAGGACTAGTAGCAATCCTATGGAACCTTGCAAGACTCAATCCTCTTCCCACGATTGTCATTAACTTAGGAATAGTTAGAGTTGCGTGGAACCTTGTGATGGCCAATCTTCTACTATCCTAGATTAATAGGAATTTTGTACAACCTTATATGATCCAATCATCTATTAACTTAGTGTTACCCCCTTAACTCGTTGGCATGGCTATGGCATGCAGTTGTTCACCGAATGGCACCCAGTGCCTTAGCAAAGGTCGGGAGGTGCTTGGCTAAGCACTCCCATGGTGTAAAAATGGATTCCTAAGGGATCAGTGATCGGTGGGATCCGAAAACCCCATGCATAGCTGAAGGAGGCGGCACATGCATGGGCATGTTGAGCAAAAGCAAGCAATCAAGTGGGCTCCAATTGTGGCGCATTTCAAGCTTGGAAGACCATGCCATGGACTGGCCATGGCTTGGTATGCAGGCAAGGGAAATCAAGTGTTATGGGCTAACAAGAATGGCAAGTGCACATCATGTGAGGCGGTTATGAATAGTTGATGGCATATGCACATCAGGTGAGATGGTTCCAAGCAACTGCTGACATGTGTATGTCATATGGGGCGGTTATGGGTAGTTGATGATTGAGTTAAGTGGCAATTATGAAGCACTACCACCCCTAGCAATGTTCAGCAAATTGTGTGGGAGTGGCAGAACACCCATAATCCTTGAGGGTAAATATGAGTGGTACCTGCAATCCTATAAGTTAGGGATTTCAATTATATGCCTGAGTTGGGTGGTGCTAGCATTGCCTAGGCGGTTGGGCTGTAATTGCCATGTATAACTTTATATACAGATTGATAGGGTCTACAGTGACCCAAGAAAGTTTGGGCACGTTTTTGTAAGTATGTTTTTTGTCGGAAATCCTTTATGCTTGAAAAGTAAAAGGTTTGATTGTTTGTGCTCTAATCTCGTGTGCCCTATTGTGTGCTTGGTTCTTGCACATTACCCGATCGATAAAAACACATTGTTTCTGTGAGCGTATTGTGTGTGTTAGTCTGAGGTCGAGTGGTGGATCTCAGTGCCATCACAAGGCAAAAATTTGAGTGAAATTTAACCCTTTGAGATAGTTGGTATCCTTTGAGTGATGCTGCAACCAGCATGACGGTGCAGATGGAACAACATGATGTCCAGATTGCAGATACGAGGATGAGCTTTGACAAATATGGGATAGACAACAATGCCAAGATTGCAATGATTATGGAGGACGTCATATCCCTTATGGATGTTGTCAAGGTTAATCTGAAGGATCTTGATTCTTGAAGATGAGGGTGACCCTTGTGAAGAGAGTCATGCATTCTCAACCCGCTGGGGTGGAGACATATTTGAAGATCAAAGTTCTTGAACCCAAGTACTTTGGTGATACACAGAGTGCCAAAGTTTTGGAGAACTTTTTGTGGGGCATGGAGCACTACTTCAAAGCTGTTTATGTTCTTGCGTGAGAGAAAGTGACCATAACCAGTATGTATCTTTCTCTCTCGCTTTCTCCCTCCTGATTTGTTTTACTCTCCCATTTTTTCTTTCATTTTGTTTTTGTGAAAGTAACTTCTAACTTGCTAAAATCGACCTTTGTGTTTTAATAAAACAAACCTCATTTTTATTTGGTCCATTTAGCTTTTAATGCTATAAAGTTAGCCTTTTATTTTAAGAAATTGTATTTGCTTGAAATTTTTAGGAAGTTTGTATCTGTTTGTCGATGAATTGACTAGACACATTTAGGATGAGGTTTCATAGTGTATATTATCTGTTAATGATATAGTATTAATTGATGAAACTAAAGTAGGAATTAACAACAAACTAACTTTAGAATCAAAAGGATTTCGAATGAATAGAAATAAAACCAAATATATGGAATGTAGTTTTAATAATAGTAGAAACCCAAAATAGGGAGGTAGTAAAGATCGAAGATCAAGAGATACCAAGAGCGAACACTTTAGGTATTCGGAGTCAATTAACTATTAGGAGGGAGAGATTGGAGATGATGTTAATCACAGAATTGAAGTAGGATGAACTAAATGGAGGAATACATCTAGCGTAAATGTTATAAGTCAACCATTACATTAACAATGCTTTATGGATGGAATGTTGGGCAAATAATAAACCACATGCTCATAAACTAACACTCAAAATTAAGTGTCACAAAAATTGAGAATGTTAACATGAATGTGGTAAAGCAAGAAAGGATGAAATTAGAAATGAGTATATTTGTAAAACCGTAGAATTAGCACTAATAGGAGATAAATTAAGAGAGAACTGACTTAAGTGGTTTAGATATATTTATAAAAAGCCTAATAATACACTTGTAATGAAGAGCGATTTGATACATATTGATGGTAATGTGAGACGAAGATGTAGACCTAAAATAACGGTGAATGAAATAGTGCAAAAAGATGTGATAGCTTATAGTCTAATAGAACATATGACCCTTGATGGAGCGCCAATGGAGAAACGGGATTTATGTAGTCAATTCGAAATAGTTGGGAATAAGGCTTCGTTGAGTTGAGATTGCATTTGGTTGTTTTTGTGGTTTAATTCATAATCTCTACATCTTATCTACGATATGGTTCTCGCTTTGATGAAGCTTGTGTCTCACCTTGCCCCTAGTCCTTGGGAGACCTTGGCGCCTTGGTGCACCTTTCACTTTGAATGTTATTGGATGATAATGTGAGAGCAAGGATCAAAACATCATTTCAAAATGGACGAACCATCCGAAACATTTTCGTTTCCGAGGAGACGGAAATGACTCAGTAATAAAATTGAAATTCTAATACTTCGAGGTGTTCCATAATGTTTTGAAATGTTTTGTTATATTTTAATGCATTTGCACAATTATTTCAGAATGTTTTAAGGTATTTTAAAATATCTTGGTATATTTCGACCAATATTTTGAAAAAATAATTCTTAAATTTTTTATATAGCCTTTGCTAAAAGTAGCTTGGAGTAATAGGATTCATGTAGTCGATAGTAAATAGTTGGAATAAGACTTTGTTGAGTATAATTGCATGTAGTTGATGATGGTTCCTATAATATGAAGTTGATGGGTGGTTATGGAGCCCAACCTTTTCCATTATGTAATTTACGAGTCAATAATCTACATATTTAGTAACATTTATTGAGACACCCAAATTCTTAGGATGACTTGAATTTCCACATCAAATTAGGAGCTTGTATTTTAGGTTTGGTGTATTTTTGTTCCATTATTGTATTTGTTTCTTCAAGTTCCTTTGAACATGTGGTAATACTGGTTGAGCACTATTGTGTGTGTCCTAGGTCTTGATTATTCAACATTGGTAATATGATTGAGGATCTATGTTCGCAGGTGATAAGAGCATATGCTTTTAATAAACCTTGGGTTATAGGTTTCCTAATGGACATATTTGGAGCGTTACTAATGCTGCGAGCATTATCTCAAGCCCCTGTAAGTGAATCAGTAGCAAGATTCTCTTTGTATATATTTCAATTCCCTTTAGTTAACATCCTACTCAATTATGTAGATCAGACATTCTCTGTACCTTTTGACTATTTTTTTTATCAGTTGAACGCGTTGATGTAATTATTTAAAAATGAAAGAAGATAATAAGCTAAGATTCCAACATTTTGTAAGTCTTTTTGTTATTAATTGATAACTGCAATTCTGCATAGCCTAGATTTTATGTGGGTTAAGCACAATGTCCTGAAAATAGCTGCAAGGTAAGGAATTGAGATGAATTCTTTAATATTACCTTTGTCCTTTCAGGGTTTTATTTAGGGAATATAGGTTTTGAATCAGTGTTGCAGTTTTAACTGTATATTGGCTGATCTCTCTAACATTCTTGAACTTGTACAAACACTTGCCTTCGAAAGTCCAACCTATATTTTCTTCTCCATCATCATTTTGAAAATGTTGTGGCCATCGGAATAAATTTTCCTGCAAACTTGTGCTTTATGTGAGATGAAGCATCTGAAAATGTACAAAGGATTAATGGGCTAGTCGTCCTGTGTAGCAAAGGCATCATTATGTTCTACCAAAATAAGCATATTTTAATATTTTGCTGCGATACCAAAGTTCCAGGTTGCACTAATGCCAAATTAATTGGTATTTTGGGTTTGTTTTGTTTCTATACATATCCTTGTAATCTTGACGTTGCACTCCAGGTATCGGTCATTCAACCTGTTTCTGGTTGTGGACTTGCTATCCTTTCTATCTTTTCCCATTTTTATCTAAAGGAGATCATGAATGCTATTGACTGGATGGGGATTGCTTTGGCTGGCATTGGTACCATAGGTAATGTAAGTTCTTTTCAGTTCTCCTTCTAAGGCCACTATTTGATCTAATAATAACGGCATTTGCATTTCCTGCGAAATGAACCGTAGACGAGTGCCTGAGATGTGAAAAGTGTGCTTTTTCAAGATGAAAATGGCAGTTAACTTGTTTTCTTTAATTGATATTGATTGGTCGATTTATATTCATATGACATACGATGCTTAAAAAATAGGTGACCGTAGTTGTTACTGAATATTAAACAGTGGAAGTCTACTTCATTATCTCCCCATGTTAAGATAGTTATTATATTATTTTTGGGAAAAAAAGATTGTTATCATCTTGTCATAGTGATCCTCGCTCTAACAATTCAGAATATGAGTTCATGACTCTTATTTTTACGATATCTCAATGATGAAGAATCTTTATATGATGCGGATACATGATTGTAGCAAGGAACAAAGGGAATGGCCGATCGGATGGTAGATGGAAGTGTTGAATAAGTCACGCTTGGGCTTAAGGTGATCTCAGGCAAACCCCCTTGTGCCTCAACTAGCGTCAGGCGAGGCGACTTTTCCAAGAAGCCTACGCTAAAGGCAAAGAGTTGCTCTGTCTTCAGCTAAATATTTTCGGCTAGGTATTAATGCCTAGATCCTAGCTTTATTTCACCTAATTTATCTGTGAAACTTGAGGGCTGTTAACTGGCTTCAAGCTTGAGATGCTTGACTTTGTCTTCTGGCAATGTCTACCAGTGTCTTTCTCAAATGCGACTTTCTCCTCCTCCTCCTTCTCCTTCTCTAGCTCCTTCTCCTCGTCCTTGTCCTTCTCTCTCTTCCCTTTCCATTTTTTGCCTTCCATGTTCTGTAAATGGGATTTTTACATACCATACATTGAAAACCTTACCAGCCCCAGTCCCATCCCCAGCCCACACCCCAAACCTATTGGTATCATCTAGTAGATGGATGTGTGTGTGTGTGAGAGAGAGAGCCCTCTGCCTTTCATCTTTTGGGCTTGTTTATTTGTTCTGATCGGGGTCCTTATCTTCTCCAATCCCGGTGTATATCAACATAGTAGTGGAGTTTTCTGAACCTAAATTGCAGAAAACTTGAGGCCTACTGTCTGATTTTTTAGTGCAAGTTCTGCCTCTTGTCTAACGCATGTAAATAAATAGCTCCACATTCAATCCAAATGGCGCTTGGAGTATGCAAACTCCTTCTTGTGCGAACTTTGCTATTGTTGACTAGTTGATGCAGTAAATAGTTTACTCAAAACAACTCCTAGCATCCACGTTGAAAATAAAATTAAGTTACAACAATATCTTATGATCTTCTCAGATTCAAGGTGAAGGTTTTGAAATCTGTAGACAATTATTTTTTTGAGTGGAGCTGCCTAACTACTGAGATTGGAGTATAAATTATGATATCTTTCAGTAGTTTATCTCAATGCTGTAAAAACTCACACCTAGGCTTGAGGCAACGCGAGGTGGCTCTATTGTGCCTCGACTGAGCTGAGGTGAGTTGACTTTGCCGAAACGTAGTTTAGGCACATGAGGCCTGGGCTGTATTTTTCTTCGTTTTTCTGTCATGATTCTATCTGGATCACGTATATCTTTTACCAGATAGCCGGTTGGAACAATCGAAGACTTAATCAAAAACCGACAAAGGAAAAAGCGAAGACTATTACATTTTTTTATTTTTTTTTCTTTTTCTACTTATATCTTGAAGGATTACTGATCCTCTATTTTTTCTTTATTTTTAATAAAGTTTTCTGATGAAAAAATAAAGAAAAGAACGCCATAACTGGCTCTCTCTCTCTCTCTCACTGTCAGTTTACCAAGTAAAGTGATTGCAGACAATCAGGCGAGTCATCTGTCTCTCTTTTTCTTATTTTTCTTCTTTTTCCTCTGTCGGCAAGTAGATTGCTGGTCCTCTTCTTCAGTCTTCTGGTCAATCAATGTTTTAGACCCTCAAGTATTTGGTTTTTTTTTTTTTTTTATATTCTCCTTCTCTTCTTCTTTCTTTTTTCTGTATAATTTGAGACATTGGACTTGCCAGCTTACTTTCGAGTTTTTTTTTCTTCTCTTGTCTGGAAGAGATGTGAGCTATTATGTTTTTTTTTATCTTCCTGTGCCTCATCTTGCGCTTAAGCCCCGGGAGACCTTGATGCATTGGTGTGCTTGTTACCATAAATAGTGTTGGTTTATCCTTTTCAGTATCCAAAAACTTCAACATAGTGCTTACTAGAAATTACTCTTCAGGCACTGTTTAACCAAAAAAAAAAAAGAAAGTAATAATTCATTTTAGTGTTTTGGGTGGTTATGATGTGTGGGGGTGCTGCTCATAACCAAAATCATAAGGCACATCGTGCGGCTGCAAGTAGACTTTTGTCCTCTCATGTATCAACTTGATCACTGAATTCATAGGTTATCTTGCAACAACCAACAAAAATTTAAACATTGAAATGGCTGCTTATTGGAGAGACATCACGTAATCAAAATCACAATGAAAACCAAAATAAAAAAAACAATACAATACAATTTCAATACACAATGCTCCCTGGCATGTAAATTGTACATCTTCCCCATGTTCACTGGACTAACTAATTCCCTTTCACCATCTGAATTTTACAGCTCAATAATGTTAGCAGCAGAAAGACCAACACAGCACATTATAGCAACAGTACAGTGAAGTAGAAGATAATAGGAGAAGTAGCTCATGCAAATACTCATCCTTTTCAGAACTGCACAAATGCACCAATATTATTGCAATTTGCAAAGCATATGTCTTTGTGTCACAATGAAGTGATATTGGCAGATCAATAGTGGAAGAACAATATAAAAGAAACTTCTTTGAGGATAACATCTTTCACAAAAGATGGTATTGATATGCAAGAACATAATTGCACAAATACACCGACTTGCCAAATTATTTAGCATAGTTGTATCTTCATACTGAAAACAATTAGGAGGGCAAAATGCTAAAATACCATGAATGCCAACGGCAAAGAGCACCTTAAATTTGCAAACATCTGAACAAACATATTGCATTGGGCGAAATAAATGGCGAAATTGGTTTCATAGCCCAAATCCAAGTCATGGTATAAGATAATCAGTGTGCCTGAATTTTTTTTGTGTGTGGATATGGAACTCCAGCTCTTAACATATATCCCCAGCAGATCACAGAACACTAATTAAGTCTAGACACTACAATATATGTGATAGCTTGTATATTAAACCTTGCTCTTACACAATACCAGTAAAAAAATATTTGAGAACATATGAAACCCATTTAATTGAGCTCATTCTAAAGAAGTTCTACAGTACAAAAAAAGGGGGGGGGGAAATCATTTTTAGTATCCAAAATGCCAAAACCACTCTCCCCCCTCCTCCCAAAAAAAAAAAAAAAAAAAAGAAAAAGAGATGGTTAGAAATAATAGAATAAAATATTAAGCAATGTTTAGTAAGAGGGAAAACATGAAGATATTCATCATTCCTCTACCTTCTCCTTTTCCTAGTCCGTCACATTGCTAAATCCAAGAACCAAATGGTCAATGCATCCACAGCAAAAGCAAAATTCAATCAAAAAAGTACAAAAATTGAGTCAAAAACAGAGAAACGATAATGATAGATCTCATCAAAATTAATTATTTCCCAACAAAATTAACATCAAATTCTCTTTGAAATTACGAAATCAAAATCGCAACAATTCGCATCAACTTGTAGCTATTGATAGTTAAGAAAAAAAAAGCTTTCGACTTCATAAAATACCTAAAAAGGTAAAGCATTGGACTTCACTGGTGTTCTTCTTTTGTTGCCATGGAAATTAAAAGACAATAATTAGCACATAAATAGAAATTAGTGAAGCATCATTAGGTAAGCCCTTTTTTGTCACCGTGACATTCAAAGATAAGCAAACATAAGAAGATAGAGAATGAGTGTGTGTGCGTAATGGTGGGTATAGGTGTGGGTGTGAAATTGAGAGCGTGTGCGCTAAAAACTATTAAGTGACAAAATTAGTCATCTAACTATCAATCCGCCAAAACTCAAATGTTGAACCGGTTAAGTTTCTTAGTTATTGAACCGAAGCGAGTGTGGGCTACCTGTAAACTTAACTTACGTGCTATGAATGATAACAGAAAAAATAAGAAACTATCAATTCAAATTATTGACGTAATCAAGTCCATAGTACAAATTGTATGAAGTAAATATTTTGACTCATTATATGTACCAATAACCAACCAATTGCGCACATAATAGTTGGGTTTGAGTGGTATCTGGATTAATCATAAAACAATTGGAATTTAGCTTGGCTATTTTAGATATGAATACTGCAGTAAAGTGCCACATTAAACATGTTTTTTTGGGAAGTCAAGCTCAACATTCACCACATATAATGATGATTTTTTTTTGTTTAACCACAACCACCAAAATATGAGTGAATTATATTTCATAGACCTGGGAGGAAGGTAAGGATTCCAAGTCCTAACAGGCCATAGGCTTAGGAATGATCTCCTTTCATGTGAATTGTGAAGATGAATAACAAAAATATGAGACATCCTAGTAAGAGCAAGAAAATTGTAAGCACAATAATTTAAATCAATACCAGATCAGATCACCATGATTGAAAAACAATGATTAAAAAAATCCTAAGCCTGAGATAGGAAAGGAATATTCATAGTCATTAGATTTTTTACCATTTGGTAGCTTTGAAGCTGCCTTTGTTGAAGAATAATCCAGATCAAATCACCAATCCTGCTATGAGTAATTATCAAGAAGTCTAATATATTTTCACTTAAAATATCAAGGGGGATAAGCATTATTTCATGATGTTGTTGGTGTGTGTGAGATGAACAAAGAGAGTTGAGACAAAGAGTGCAATTCTGTGTGTGTATGTGTTAATGGTTTTGGGTGGGGGGGGGGGGGAATTGGGTTATTGCACGACTGAATTTTTGTGTTTTCATTAAACAAAATTCGCTTAGTAAACTCAAGCACACACCGCCACTGATTCGCTTCAATTGGCATCAATCACATATAAAAATGAAAAATAGAAAAATGAACTTCACATGCTTACTTTACCCTCTAAGCACATTTTCCATTGTGACTTGCACTTGCACTCATAATAAGAATGAGCAAACTGAGTTTTCTAGACAACTAAATTCATACCAAACTCATCAAAGTTAGGACTATATCAATTGTATAAATTGATAAGAAATTTTACTTAGATTGATTTCTTATACATATTGTCAAAGACAATTAGTTCAAGCATTAACCAAATTAAGTATTGGAAGTGTGCACAATTACTTCAAAACTTGGTAAGAGAGAAAATAATAGAATTCCTATCTTCAACATTGAATTGCATATATAAAATGTAAACCTTAAGCCTATATTTGTTGTAGAAAAAATAAATATTATCTAAGCTAGGCAAAAATTTCATAAATTTATGTTCCTATGTATAAAACCTAAAATGACTAACATTTACAGTGAGTATATGCAAAACATCAAACTTCATTACCCCGCTTGAATGATAGAGATTGTGGGATTGGTTTAGTGGTGGGGAATGGGCAAGTGAGAGATATTTGAAAAAAATGCCGGAGCCAAGAGACCGATTATCGAGACATGATCTTTTGGCATTGAGGCAAAAAATCTACAAATTCACAAACATAATAATCTAAATTTAATGTCATCAATAGAGAACTCTATTTTTTACAACATCTTTAGTTTCTACAACATAGGAAAAAAGAGAAACTAAAATAAATAGATAGATACAATGTGCTTGCCTTATCATCAAACACCTTATATGCATTTTGTCACAAGTTGTGCTCAATGGTGGGGGTTGATGTAGTCTCATAGAAACTAATAATATTGGTTTAATGCACACCAACAATTCCCTTAC